GTAAATGTTTTAACTGATTCCAAACAGGCGAATACAACATTTGCTGTATAGAGTTTGTTAATAGCTGGTGAAAACTCTAGTAAATTGGTCTAATTTTCTGCTTCGTTAGCAAGCTTAAAATGTATACGAATCAATACAGACTTAATGTAGACTCATATATTATTACTTGTTATCTTATCAAGAGATGAGCAAGTGCATAGACTGGCACAATGTTATTACGGGGAAGGTAAAGTATTTAAAAATGTAGCGTTTTTTTTCTTCTCTTTTTTGTTGAAGTACTCGCGAAAAAGCAGTGAAAAAGTGCTTGCTATTGAAATATGTTGATACAAATAATTCAAATAACCACCTCAATCAGAACAAAAACAATATCGTGTACCCCACGTGATCATGCCAATTACTACCGAAGGTTATTGAACAGCTGCACGACCAAACAATCCGAGATACATCTCTACTATGCAACAACTTCACTGCTTCACTTGTTGCATTTTGACTGAGTCATCATTCCGTTTTCTCTGACCGGAAAGACGGCTATGAACCTAGAATGGGCAGATTATTCAGGTCGCAACATCATCCATAAAGTGATTAATATTTGTGACAGGTAACAGAGACGTGTATACAACCGATATTAGTTTCAAGACTATAATTTAAAGATTCTAGTTTCGTCTCGCAGCAACTGTACAAACACAATGCCATAACAGTGTGGTGAGTGGCACTGTAGAGATGCAAAGCTAGCGTCATTAATTCCTTGTGGGATCACATAGTGCCACTTGTGATCTCTACCCATAAAAAAACTGTTTTCGCATGCAACCACCTCACCACATGACGCACTAAAAGAAAATGTGCACTGAAGCGTGCAGTATTGTGACCCTGAGGGTGAATACAGCAGAAAAAAAAAGCTTTCATTGTTTTTCCTCCATAACGATGCAACCAGTATCGGCTATTATTAAGAGTAGACCTAGCGTCTGAAACCACTGAGCGATAGTTGAATGTTAACTATCTGCAGAAAACCAACACTTCAACTTGAATGTTACACGTCTGAAGACAGGAAGTATATGCTTCTAATTTTAAATCTTTTAGCATAACATCAGTCTTGGCCTTCCAACAATGCTGGGTCTTCAACTAGAATTGTTCAACCCTAATTCTATAAGGCACTCATGAAATATTTTTTTTTAAATTTCACAAAAAACACACCTGCACGAGCACCTTTCGTTAATTGGCAAAATCAACATGTTTTCTGAGTCTTAGGTGCACAGCACTTTTTTCTACCTACAGCCATTCCATTGCCAAAATATCTCTCTCGTACGTGTTACGTGTACTCGGCCACTCTACGCCTTATATGTGTGGCGTCTAGTGCTGCGCATTCGAAGAAAAAAGAAAGTGATATACACAAATACGGCGCAAGGCTACACAGACTTCATAATTTTTTCATGAAATCTCTAGTTAAAAAAACAATAAGCACATTAGGAAGAGAAGAAAGGGAAAGCGTATACTTTGCGTGAAATTCTTCAACAGTGATAAATGTATTGTATATACATACTTGTGAGTCACAGAGTATTGTGTATAATGAATGGTATGGGTGATTGTTTTTTTTTTCGTATCTCTTTCAAATGGTCCTGCACAGCTTAGTGAGAGCGGCGTTCAACAACAGCATCGATTCCTTTGTCACGCGACTTCCGTTCACGAGCAAAGCTGGATACTAGAGGATAGCCAACAAGGTATTACAGTAGATGAACCTTCACGTAATGCAACAAGACTCGCTCCGTTCCTATAAATTGTATCGCTAGCATATAGTGGAGGGAAGCAGAGCATATTATTTTGTGCCGGTGTATATTTCAAATGGTTTCTCGATTTGCAATAAATGCGATATTCATCAGGGCAACCACTCGCGAACGTCACAAAAACAACGCGCCGTATAGTTGCGACTTAATCGCGCAAACGCACTCACCAAACGCGAATAAGTATCGCGCTACAGACTGCGACAAACTTTTTGCAGCTGTTTTTTTAATGTCAAAACAGCCCCGCTGTGGTAAATCTTGAATAATAGTTTAAGTAACTCGAGTGATCTGCTGGAATCGCACTCTCGAAATCGATAACTTTATCAGGGGGCTATGGCGACGCCCCTAAAGAAATGAGATAAGTCTCACGGGTTCCATTTGCACGAAACGCACTCGGTGAGTCAGCAATGCCGAGTTCTTGCAGTTCTGTGTTGATATACCGTAGCAACGCGCCAACAAACTTGCGTGCGTAAACTCGTAGCAATACTCCGCACGCATCTACGAGGCGAATGCGTTGCTTCAGAACAACAAGCCACCTAATCTGACCCAGTGCCTTTCCGTTCTTGAACAATAAACATCGTTTCACATTTCTTGTAGGCAACTTGAAGCTTAACGCCTCTATTCAACTCTGTAGCCCTCAAAAGCGCCAAGTTCTTTATCCTCGCTATGCGGCAAGTGGAGAATGCTTGAATATTAGCTGCTACAGCAGCCAGTTGCGGTAATGTTACTAACTAATGACCTAAAACATCTTTATAAAGCCTTTTGAAAAGGCACCAATGACTGCGTTGTGAGCTTTGAGGTGTGTTCGAAGTAAATGTACTAAGCCTACGGATATAGCGTTTTGCTATTCGATCAGTTGCGCTGCACACTGTGTGGTGTCTTATATTTATCACTGGGAAAGAATGTAAGAACGATGAGATGTAGCGGTGAACGCGTAGGAGAGTCATTGCGGTATGAGAATTTAGCTGGAGAATGCGGTGAAGACAAAAAGGGTATGAGAAAAATACGCGCAAGCTTAAAACGAACAATCATACGCACTCCCGTAACTGGTGAGCGATAAATTAGAACCATCGCACTTATTCTTAGACTACACTGCTCACGAAAAAGACGCGCGTCTTCGAAAATCGTACCACTGGCAACAACCGCACATACATCAAAATGTTCCCAAAACGTTCCCACCGTTGAAGGACTTCCGGTGTACATGATGGTAATGTTGAAAAAATGTTCAGCAGTAATGGGCACAATACAGAAAAAAAAAGACAAATGGGAGGAAAACGTGAAAGAGAAGCTGCAAGTCACTCAAAAATCGCCAGTGTAATGTGTTTGATTTGTCCGGAATGGCGAATGTAGACCACACGTGTCGTGCAAACCGTGTGACCACAACTTGAAGGTTACGTACGCCACAGGAAACCGACGGAAAACTAGGAGCCACTGGCAAAATGGCGGGTCAGGCGAAGCGAACAGAAAAACAACAGCATGAGAACGATTCTGTCGCCAGTGCAGAACCGATGGTCAATAACTTCACACATTCATTATTTACACATACAGAAGCAAAAGAAAAATATTTCTTATTTCTTAGAATAAGCCTTTTTTATGCAGGATATGTCGTAATTTGACACTGAAGAGAAAAAAAAAGTTATTTTGGAAGTTCGGTGACATAATTAGGAGAAGTATCCCAAGTTCTCACTGTTCTTTTTTTTTTTTAAAGTGGCCACCTCGAGCAGAAAAAGAAAGATTGCCCATTTGAAAGTCCCCTTCACAGTCAGGCAGCTTTAGTATAAAGGACAGAGATTGATTCTCATGCTTGGACGTTGAATATTTCGAATCCCAGTAAATGAGCGTTAGTGCAGAATAAATTCAACAAAAAAATATATACAGAGCTATAAAATCATGTACAAATGAAACGCGAACATCCACTGCAAGTGTGATCCCTGCGAGTCAAGTGCGGAAATGTCGATCATGTGGTCTCAAAATATTGCTTGGGCCTCACGCTAAGTGTGAAAAACCAACGCATGATGACATTATGAGTATTGGATGAACGAAAAATGATATAGAGCATTCGAGTTCATTCCTTTTTGCATTTCAATTTTGACGGTCGTAGTTATTGAGTCTGAATTCAATCATGCTGAAGTGAACTAACTGAAATATATAATGAAATCATGCTGAAATCAACAAATCATCTGGACAAATTTATACGCTTTCTGCCACTGGCTTGCCATTGACTCGTAGTTGCGCATCGGCTTATTCCCTCGGCATATTCAGATATACGCGCTAAAGTCCACACGTAACGAACCTCGTTGTAAACCCCGTCATGCGCCTTGTACACAATCAACACCCCTTAGTTCCATAGATGTCAATCATCAAGGGCACTCAAAACAATGTCTCTCTGCTATGTATACCTTAAACATAACCGACCTTCTTAACATTCTCCGATTAGCAGCAATAATGTCCAAGGTTATCAAGAAGCACAGTCTCCTCAGGGCAGTGCTCTTCAAACTAAAACGCTCTAACCACCAAAGACGCAGTGTACAACTGTAGTAGTAACAGGTCTCGGTGCCGTTGGTGTCACTGTCCTTTCAGCCTAGCACATTACCACATTACCACAGGTACCAATGCCATTGTCACAAAGGTTGGTTCGGTCAACAGCAGCGATGATTGTTCGAGTATAGCCAGCCTGCATTCCGAAGCCTTGGCTGTGAGCAGGCAGGCACACACACTGCCCGCAGACGCGTAGCCTCGGAGCGTTTACATGACGTCCATTAGGGCGTATTCGTAATCTTCGCCTTAGCGAGAAGAGGTAAGCTGTCCGATGCCAGTTTCCAATGAACAAACAATGAGTCACTTCCACGCAATGTAGGGTGGCTAGAGCCACCCCGCTGGCCTTCACCAGCGCCGGTGGCGGCACGGCGAGCGAGGAGAGACGTCGTCGCGGTGACGTCGGCGGTGGCGACGTCGCCCACCGCCCGCGCTCGCCGTCGTCGCCGCCACCTTCCGTCGTCCTCAAGAAGGCGACGGTCTGGGCGCTGCCGCGGGGTGGTGAATCGGGCAGCGGCCACCGGCGAAGTCCGGCTGCTGGATTGTGGACGTCGAGGCCGAGTGCAGGCTTGTCGACGGACGCGCGCCCAGGTAGCACAGCTGCGGCACGTCGTAGTTGGAGGAGGAGGCCAAGCTGCTGCCGCCACCAGCGCCGCCGCAGTGGTGGTGGGCCCCCTCCGCGGCCCTGTGCTAGGAGTCGGTGCAGTCGAAGTGCAGAGGCGATTTGCGCATCTCGAGCATCTGCATGATGCCGTTCTCCTGGGCGTGCAGGTCCATGGCGCTCGGCACGTACGTGTTGGCGGCCGGGGTGGGCAGACATTTCGAGCACTGGCGACGCAGAGCCGGCCTCTGGCGCGACGCCCGGCAGCGCACGGCGAACCGCAGCTCTTCGGCCATCTCCGAGCAGAGCGATTGCTGCGTGGAACAGAATAGCAAGTTCTGCGCGCCGGAGGGGGCGTCCCGTTACGACCTGGCAGTTCGCTCGCGCGGCCGGGGACACGGAGCAGTAAGAGTCGCAGGAGGGCAGTCTCGGCCTGGCTAACATGAGCCCCTTCCCCGTTTTATATATATATATTGCGTTGAGCAAAGCCATTTTCGGTATCTTCACCTTGTTTTCATGATATATCGAAACGTTAACTCTGTCCACTATATTATCTCCGCGAGTTACGATTACGGTTAGTGACAGTGTTAAAGATGGATTAGCAGCGTGGTTTTTCGCAAAAAAAAAACTTGAGAGCACATGCGAACCTTGCACCGCAAGACATAGGAGAGCATGCAGAGGGCTGGAATGCCGATGGTGGAACCAAGGTGAGGCTGTGTGTGTAAGGCGAAGTATCAGGAGAGTGTAGCTAGTAACGCTTTTTAATAAGGGGCACGTGGGCTGGTGTTTTATGCATGGCGTGAGTCGGCAGTCCTGCATATCTTGCTCCGTGGCCCTAGCGAAATGCAAGCAAGGAAATAAAGAAGCATGCAGCACAAATTGAGACAGGACATGCGTCTGCTTTGCACTAATATTCTCTTGTTAATACATTGCCCTTTGTAGGTAATGAAGATAAGCATGCTAACGTCAAATGTTTCATGCAGCTACATGCAAATTATATTTTACTGCAGGTATTCATATATGCCTTTCTTGCTACGAGAAGGAGTGCAAAAGGTCTGAACAATCGATATTATTTTCAGGACATAATTTGGAACATGAAGTGTAGTTACTTTGTCATATATGTTCAACCAGCGATACGTGATAATTTCACACTCCCTTTGCCATTCACAATATGATTGTTCCGGTACGGTTCATTTCTAACATTTCCTGATTGGTGGTTTACCAGCGAGGCTCTTGCATACAGACGATATGTACTTTTCATTGATGAAAGCTAAAAGGTAACAGAATCAAATGAGGACTCTGTACAGTTGTAAAGGCAGCAAATGCGGCGTATTATCATCTAATTTCTGATCGCACATGAGAGATAAATACAACTGCCCTTTCTTTTTTTAAGACTATAGTCTTTCTTGAGGACCTTCAACGCGAAAATTTTGGTCTGTCTGCCTGCCTGTAAATTTATGTTTGTTTACCCTTAACGGTACCCTAAACGGCACCAAATGATACTACAAATGGCCGACCCCATCCGCAGCGCCCACCAATATTGCTCAAGATTCAGCGTTCATACTTAAGTGATTGTCAATTAAAAAACAATTATTGCTCATATTAAAGACACCATAACAGCCCGTCAATATTATGTATGTGTCTTTTTTACTAGCGAAGAAATACATAAGTAATAATAAGGACCGTAGCGTCTATCATGCTGCGCTGACCATGCAACGCTTGCACGAAAAGGCAAGTGCTTCCAACGCTTTGCTAAGACGACACGGCGCGCCTCATTTTCACGAATAGCTGCCATACAGCGCTCATGTCTCACGTGTGACGTGACTTGATGCGCTTGTTCGCCTACGCTGCACGCTCGAGGCACTCTAATGCAGCACCTCCAGAATACAATTCACCAATTTTCTTGCGCAGAACATCAAAGCAACGTTTTGTTCACTCTCTCCAGACACAAGGCTACCGTCTTTCAACGACATTTGCATTGTAACATGCTGATACGAAGCCAATTTTTTTTTTCATCGATGAACTTATTCTTAACAGATAACGTCCCGAGTTCTCTTAACTCAAAGAAGGTACATGTGCCTGTAATAAGAAAGGTTAAGCTTTGATGACATAAGTTCGGTGATTCCTCAAGCCTTGATTCCTCAAGATTTGGGCAAACAGTGCGGTAAGTGGGGTTTTTTTTTTGTTTCATTTAATGGTTTGTTTTTCTTCTTCTAGAATCTAATCAATACGTTTAGTGTGTATTTTTATTCTGTAAATGAGTTTCTCAATGCGTTTATTTGTCACGAAAATGGGATATAACCTTAACATTACGCGTGAAAATAAGGCGTTAATAGGCTCAGTGAAGTGTCAATTTAAAATGCTCGCACCTTTCGTAAATCTTCCCTCATACTCGAGAAGCACCGTTGGTCTCTTCGAAATTGAAAGTCTGAAGTTATGAGGGTTCTTATGAAAGTTTAACCGTGTCACAATGGGCGCCTAAGTAGACAAAGCACATACTTGCTAAACTTCACAAGTCCACCTAGCCCCATGGTCAGCGAGGTTACTTATGTGCCGACTCAGACCCAGTCACAGATTGGACTGAAAATCAGAATTAGAGCGAGCCCGCTTGAGTATATTTTTTGTTTGGTACGTTTGAGTAAGAGGAAGTCCCTATGAGCGAATCTTTAGTGAGTCTGGGTCAGGGTGAGTCCGGTTGAGAAAAGAATTTAGTGAGTCTGAATTCGAATGAGTTCTAAGCGCACAGTTTATCTCCTGAGGGAGTCAGACTGAGCTCTAATTTTTTGCCCACCTACGGCTTAGCCTGAACAAAACGGCGATAAAATGACCATACCCTGTCCGTCTGAGCGTGTTTGCGAGAGTTGATGCAGAACTCCATGATTGCGGTGAGGATGGCGACGGCGAGCCCGCAGAGGAGCACTACGAAGACGCCGCCAATGTTGGCGAGGCCCAGCGCGTTGGCCTTGCCCTCCTTGTTCTTGTCGTCTCGGTTGCAAGTGAGCCCAGGGCTTTTCCACCACTTGTTGTACAGCATCTGGATGACGCCTTTCTCCTGGAGGTCCAGGATGGCCAGAGATATCTTGTCTCGCCAGGGTGAGCCTGAAAACGACAGGAACAGCTGATTTTTATCACTCGTTCGTTTTGTTAGACGGCAAGTGGCCACTCGCCGCTCATCCAAGCAACATCCAAGTCTCAGTTGAAATCACTTTACTGACAAGATATTTATGGAATGTTTCACTCTCATTATCAGCGTTTAATGTGTGTGGCATTAGGCCGATGGTAAAAGCAAATCAAAGCTTCAAGACAAAGATGAAAATTTGAAGTGGTCGCCATTGGACTAAATAGGAGGGAGAGTGTTATAAAAAGCCATAGTTTTAAAATAGGATTTGTTTCGATAACTGCGTTGTTGTCGACTACAAAAGCTTTTTTTGAGCACCGTTTACTATTTTAGGCCAGTTATTTTTGACTCTGCTGACAAAGCTGGGCTGTGAAGGAAGAAGCAGAAAACTCCCTAACAAGAAATATTTCAAGCAGAACATTTGTCCCGCCACATACTGCAAGGAAGCTTCCACAGCGAAAGCCAAAATGGTCGCGGGCGCTGTAGTTGTCCGCCGCCGTCAATGTCCATAACTCCCATCGTGCGAATTGAAAAAAAAAAACTTAGCGAAAAAAAAAAAACAAGGACAGAATGCAACTCGAACCCGGGTTATCTGCGTGCCAGCCTAGCACTCTACCATTGAGCCAAGCCGGTGCTTGAAACTCCGTTACAAATTGGCTAATTAGGAAGGCGTGTCATCGGGAAAGGAATTGTGGTAGTATGAGCAATAAAGTGCTTTAAAAGAGCAAGGAAACGACCAGGCATTACGCAATGCACATTGTATCCGCGATAGGTCATCGAAGGTTCCGATCCCTTGGCATAAGCTTCAAGCATTATCCTGCATCGTCATCTGCCACATCATAAAAAAATGCTAAAAATTATTTTCAAGTGTAAAGCGAGTACCACACTTCTCCGAAGAGTCACGGAGTATGGCACAGTGAACGCCTTCATACAACGCAGAAAACTCATCATGATTTATGAATTGATTTATAGGGCGTTGTACCGATGTTCCTTAAGTCTTTCGTTCACGCACCTTCAACGTATAAAAACGCAGAAAAATATGGGGGAGCCTTCAACTTCGCTTTTAAGAGTTGAACGCGAGAGCAAAATCTGGTCCCTAGTGTGTTCTTCAAGCGCTAAGTGCATACTTATTAATATGTTTTGTTACATACACACACACGCACGCACACGCACATGCACACAGTAGATTGTACCAGCACGCGCTATTATCGCCGAATGGGCTCATTTTCGTCGTGACACCTGTCGAACAAAATGCGTTGAAGAGGCCCTGAAATACTTTTTCAAGTAACCATGGAATGAATTCACCAGAAGAGCTTATTGCCTCACGAATTCAACGCCACAAAAATTTTAGGAATCCGTCCAGTGCGAGTGGAGTTACAAAGGTTTGGCGCATGCTGCCATTGCAATATCTCTTCTCTCGTCCCGGCGAAAGCGCTGGAAGCTAGGCAGGAAGGGGTGGCAGGCGCAATGGAACTACCGCGCCTCGTGACCTTGAACACTTTTGTTTTCTTCAAATGGGCGGCTTTTTCAGTGTGATCACGCACGACAGCGTGAACAAGTAGCGGCCTCCCGCGGCGATCTCGGTAACTTGATTTTTCGGTCACAGACGCACAGACGATTTTTCGCTCACAACCAACAGGGCCGATGCCGACGGCGGGATTTCTGTATCCCCCTTACCCCCTTCCCCAGTACAGGGTAGCCAGCCGGTCTGAGAACTGGCTAACCTCCCTGTCCTTCCTCATTTATTCCTCCTCCTCCTCCTCCTCCTCCTCTGCGACATGAGCTCTTTAACACTATCGCGTTAAAATAGAATAAGCTCAGTCTTGCCATTTGGTCATTCTCTGTCAGAGGTGTGGTAGCGTTCCTGTGCTTCACAACACTCGCGCTCTCTATAGGGGGCCCGTGACAGAACTACACGTTATATCATTGAAGCCTAATAAATTGACAAAACGAAAGAAATATGTGTGATTGTAGCTTTGTTTGCTTTGTCAGCTAAAGAAAAGGGTATCTAGAATCTCCACTTTGACCTTGGCGAGTGCAAATTGTCGCAATTGTTGATGACACGCGCACGAGCTGTGCTGTATCTTTACATCATGTTTCCTTCGTTTTATCGATCTACTGTTATTGTAGCAATAGCATGCGTCATCGCAAATAAAACATTACATGCAAGTTAGCGCTGTGTGTGTCACTCTCTTTTGTGTCGTTGTCGCAATGCGCTATACTCATATGAACCATGAACCCCAACCAACTATATCCCGGCAACATGCCTTATCAAATTTCATAATCATACCAATAATAACAGTCCCATTTCAATCATCCCATCGCCTTCACTTCTGAACCCTAACAACACTAGGTTTTCTTCCCATAAACACTTCATTTTGGTGAAAATCTAAACTACTGTAAGCAAACACCTCATTTTAGTGCATTTTTCATATAGAATTCTCTGCCGTTTATCTTAAAACCACTGAATCTCAGCTCTTTTATGAAATAATTAAAAAGTAGTTCCGTATAAATCAATATAGGACCACATAATGTTTCTTTTACGGAGCCCCTAAAACATAGCTTTGTGTTTTTTGATATAGTATATTGCGCAAACCTTTTCTATTCTCTTTCTTGAAATGTATCATGTTTTTCTTGTTTATTATACTATGTCTTTGAAACGTACGTGACCCCTGACCTTAAAATGCATATTGTATTTTTTTTCTTTCTTTTCAATGCCCTGAATCTTTTTTTTAATTTTACTACGTTCTGGAGGACCCAATTCAGTCTCCGACTTCAGGACCTTCTTCTGTATACTGAGATGCAATAACCTAGTTTTTTGGACATACTCAAGTTTCTTATTCTGCTTCTGATCCATAGACCTGCTTATACACCTGAGATATTTTCTAAGTTAAAGTATAATCTCTGTGTGATAAAAGAGCTCAATTCCATGTTTTAAACAAGGAAGCACAATTTGCTTTCCATGTTTTGACACCAAATACTCGAACGCCAGTGGTTTCCAGATTCACAAATATTGATATCCCGACTCTAATCAAAATAGGTAAATGCAGCCAAAATATATTTAAGTAGTCAAGACATTTCTTTTTCTGTCACCACAGGCCTCGAAAGTAGTCTAACTGGTACAATGTAGCCAAACCTGGCAACCTTGACTGTGATATTCGACTATGTAGTACGTCATCATGCCCGATTCACCGTAAAAAATTCGATATATTGAAGAAGCATGTGAACCAATACATAGAGCAGGCACTCGTGACGTGTGCCTAGAATTGTTATCGGCATACACACATACATACCCATGGGGGTGGCAATGCCGTATCCCTTGGAATCTAGCAGTCCACCAACTTGCGTGAGGTTGCAATCGCGCTGGACCATGAAGTCGAGCATAGTCGACTCCATGAGGAAGGCGTAGTTGCCCTGCAGTACTCGCTGTACTCCATCCTCGTAGGAGCTGACAAACACTCCTGGACGGTTCTCCATAAACCGCCACATCTTCTGATAAGTCTCTATTTTGGAATCCTACCAGATGAAAAGAAAAGAAAACAAGATAACGTTATTACCCTCTCTTTTCATAGTGTCTAGTATTTCTTACGCTGGCACCCTGCAACAGGAACAGTTTAGGATCAGTATAAGGCAGGGCATACCATGCAAAAAAAGCCGAGCACAGCTGTTTTTCTGGAAAATACTCATTTTGTATAACTTTCAGCATATTTAACCATTTAATTTTACTTGCCACCACACGCAAGCATTGCTTTCTACCAGTATGTTCTAGTTGCCTCCATATCTTTATTAATGAACATTATAAATACGACTAGCGCATCATTTTGCGCACGTACAACCTCTAATGCATAGGCTAAATCTACTCCAGTCGATAGCAGTGTCTGATTACCCATACAACTATATCTTTTACATTGAAGCACGTTACCACAATGCTGACTTTTATTTTTCAGAATGTGGCACTTGCAGTAGCTTTCTCTTAGGCGGAGTGACAGCTTCGGTACAGTGGCACAAGAAGTTTGCCACCTCATTGTAATCCACGCCACCATAAAGTAACTCGCACTAAGTGAATTGATGTTACGTGGAATTTTTAAATAAGAGCGTATGCTGAGAAACTGTTATATTTCTCTCTCGCATGTACCACTGTTTTTCGCGTTCTTGGGATTAATGGCTTAATGCAGGAATTCACAGATGTTTCCTATTGAACTCTTCTAATTCGTTATTGCCAGTTTCACTGCTGTTGTTAACTATACACCCCGGGGCATAGATTCACGTGTAACCTGTACAAACAGTTTTCTGCGTTGCCTCTATTCACACTCAGTCATCTCAATAAGACGCATTCCTATGGTCGCACCTCTACTGAGACATCAAGACATCTTGGTCAAACTGTGTGGTGGGCGGGGCGAAAGGGATTATGTGAGACGAGCAAGCTCTTTTTTTTGGCTCGACTCCGCATTCTTTTTTCAATCCCAATGCGCAGTTTGATCAAGGTGAATGCTTAGCAAGTTGGCCAACTTTCCACGCTGCCTATCCTTTTGATACACCAACACCAGTGGTTCGCGGGCAGTGTTGACTACCATGTCTGTCTTTACATCGACCAAGTCTGTTGCAGCTGAAACGATCATATAGCACTGAAAAAGACCGAAACGCCACGCAGTACCCACCCTGAAGAAGGTCATGGTGGATCCCGAGTCCAGGGTTCCGTAGGATATCTTGCTTTGCTCGGCCAGGTCCTCGACGCTCTCGATGGGGGTGATCATGCGCTCGACGGTCAGGAAGGCGGCCAGGTTGGCCGTGTACGACGAGATAAGGATGAGAGTGAAGAACCACCAGATGGTTCCCACGATGCGCGTCGACGTAGCCTTGGGGTTGAGGTCGCAGCCCTGGTGCATGAGGGTTACGATGGTGAACCAGAAGCTGTTGCCCAGGCTGAACTGGTTCTCCATGACGCCGGCGTCGCGCACGCACGGATGCGGGGTACGCCACTCGTAGGGGCTGAACCGCGCTACGATGAACATGGTGAAGGAGACGAGCATGTAGGCGGCCAGCACGTACAGCCAGATGTCCACGTCCAGCGGGCTCATGAACGAGAATAGCTTGACGGGCATGCCCGAGGGCAGCATGAAGAGGATGCCGATGCCGAGGTTCATGAAGGGCTTGGTGAAATCGATAACGGACTCGCGCGCGTAGTTGATGGTCATGGGCGCTACGGCCAGATCGGCGTTCTTGTCGATGATCTCCCGCACCATGCCGTTCCACTCGCCCGTGGTGGTGTTCTCGACGCCGAACTTTTTGTCGGGCACCAGGTAGAGCTCGTAGTTGAAGCCCAGCAAGTCGGCAATAGTGCGAAGGAGGTCGATACAGAAGCCGTCGAAGCGGTCGTTACCCGTCAGGTTCTTGTTCTGCTTCATCATCACGTACGGACGTGACTGCAGCAGCGGGAAAAAGAGATAAGGTCAATGAGTGGCAAGAAACGAGCCGTGTAATTGGTTGTGTGCTGCTGTACGCGAATGAGGTCAACTCATGAAATGGCTGACGAAACCAAATATATTTAATTCTTCATTTGATCATAACTTCAAGTAATCAAATCATTGCTGCGATGGACACTTGTCTGTTCAGTAAAAGTCACGTAATAAAAACACGAGGACACCGACCACAAGAGAATAAAAATGCCTTCCATCCCCCATAACGGAAGCCTTGTTCGGGAGACGTTTTGAACAGAGCTATCATTCCGAGTACCGAAATGTCAGGGCATTTTCATTTTCTTGCGGTCAGTGTTTTCGTCTTTTCATTCAACTTCTAAATATACTTGTAATTGAATTGATTGTTCATCACTGTTATTTTTTGTAAAAGATATTGAAAAGAAATAAAGTCAGATCAATATCTTTTACACTAAAAATCTGATTCTGAAACTGGGAAAGTGCATTTCTATTCAGGGCATGCATATTCTTAAACCGTACTGTACGCTTTCCACAAACGTTTGTCACGTAGCGTGAGTTTTTTAATGCAGGAGAAGTGGTGAATTTCACGCGCACGTGTCAAACAAAGCTGTGTAAAAAGTAAATTGCGTATAGTTAAATATTTAGAAATTAGCTCACAACAGTACATTAACTGCGAGCTTGCAAAAAAAATTGTTATAAGCGGCACTGTTACATTGATCTGACTATTTAAAACGAGGATGTGAATGTAAGAACATTACCGTAACATTAGTTTAACATGTGTGTCTAGAGAAACTTGCAAATACCAACGGAATAATATTGTCGCGATACACAAATTACGGCTGCCATTTCACGAACGTTCCTGGGCAAAACAAAGTATTAGTTGCACACCGCTCATATAAAGCACTGTGACATCAAAATGCTTCAATCAATTTTGCGAAGAGGTCCCAAAGCTGGGCCGCCGTGCTTATCCGAATGCATCTAGTTCAACTCCCACAAAACATGCTCACAGGACAATGCAGCTGGACTCAGAGGGGTTCCTCTGTTGTTTAGCGAAAAGTGCGGCTTTCAGTCGTCCCTTCACTGACTGGCGCTACCACTGACAGACGTGAGGGTCACCGGTAACTTCTCTTTTTTACGTGCAGTGCTCAGCCCACTCATCCTAGGTTCCCACAACTTCCATCAATAAACTTTTTACGAAGCGAAGTCGTGCCTTATCACTGGGCGCTTTCTATACTGCACCCTCATGGAGTTAGTTTCATTATAAAGCTCGAGAACCGATGGCTGTGACCCCTTCGTATACAATGAAATTGCCGAGAAGAAATCTGTTTCCGGACAACTGTCACAGCTAATGCTGGTGTAGCCGTGTAATGTACAGGGTGTCGCACGTAATTTTTTGCCAGCGTTTAAAAATATGCCGGAACACGTAATTACGACGCGGCCAAGTGCATGTTGCTCACCGTTGTCTGGAGTTAGATTTTTTTCTCGAATATTGTTTAATTAAATATGTTTAATTAACACACTTTTCAAGAAACAAAATTAGACAAAAAATTTGATTAGAAAGTTGTAGATCGGTTAGCAGAACGTCCAATTAGACAGTCTCTAACTCTATATCTGTTACGTATTAATGTTTTTCTGCTGATTGCAAATGCCCGCGAAATACAAAAAAAAAATACCACATGACAAACCCACTCGCGCGTCAGTGTGCACGATGATTCTAATGTTTCCTAACGTTCTATGTACGAACGACACGGTTCATGACAGCGATAAGCAGTCACAGCGGTTATCGTTTTTTGTAGCCGATAGGAAAACGTGGTCTTCGTAAAGCAACCACCATGGTTGCGGCCATGCCGAGACAGCACAATGAGACAAATGCTATGGTCGTTCGTACGCGGAAGGTTAGGGAGCACTAGAATCACTGCGCGCACTGATGCACGAGCGGGTTTGTCACGTGTCATTTTTTTTTTGTATTTCGCGGGCATTTGTAATTATCAGAGAAACAATAATACCTAAAGGATATTAAGTTCCATACTGTCTAATCAGACGTTTTTAAACCGATCTACAACTTTCGCATAGAATTTTTTTATCTATCTTCATTTCTTGAAAAGTTGGTTATTTAAACATATCTACTTCAACTATATTTGAGAACACAAAAAAATAGTCTGACAAACTCCAGGCAACGGTGAGCAACATGCACTTGGTCGCGTCGAGATTACGTGTTCCGGCATATTTTTAAACTTTGTCTAGAGTCACGTGTGACGCCCTGTATAGGCCGCCATGTACATACTATATCTGTTAGAAAGGTATCCGACCTATGTTTTTCTTTAGAGATTTGATAAATGTACAAGCGCGCTTACATCAGCCGAGCTTGAACTTAAAGTATAGTGCGCATGCGTGAATTTTTCCCCGCCTACCATTGACGTCAGTGTTTAGAATGGAGCATTTCAATAAGGTATACGTGCGCAGCGCTCTCGTTGGTATCCTTATTGCAAGGAAAACGACAAAATTACCGGAGCAGCACTTCTGCGTCAAATTTTGCCAGACACTGGTTGACTGTCAAGTGGAAGTGGTTCGGAAGATTCAGATGTATTTCAGGGACAATGCTGTGAGGAGCGCACAGACTATCGAGTGGTAGAACTGGTTTAAAGACGGCTGCTAATCGGCGGCGCCACGCTCCGGTCCGCCATACAAACTCCCGAAATGACCCCGTCATTGCGGAAGCAAACGCCGTCGTGATTATTATAAGCACAATGCCCACATATAAAAGCACAATACAGTGCACATGGGGAGATCCCTTCGTCAGTGAATGCAGGCTTAAGGCAACATTGTTAACATGCAGTAGTAATCAAGAGGAATAGACGAAGCCATACCTATTGTCAACCTGTCCTTGGACACAATAGATTTAAAAAGAAAGGTATTGTCCGTATCGTGCGATATTGACAAAAAATTTCAAGTTCGATAATATTAAAAGTTTTGAGAGGCAAAATAAATAATGTAATGCGCAGACACTGTGTGCCTTAATTTCAAATTCGTAATTCCAATTCTTCAAGAAGTATGTGATAGGTAAATCATGTATCTTCTAGTGAGAATTTCGCTATATGAGTTTTGTAAAATATATTATCAACTTTTTCGTAATTTTGAGTCAGTACGAAAGGTATTCATTTCTAAAAACACCACGATTACGGCCAGAAACGCTTAAAAGAACTTCATGTTTTCCATTTTTGTTGCTCTTAAGCGAATGTGCGGCCCCGCCGCGGTGGTCTAGTGGCTAAGGTACTTGGCTGCTGACCCGCAGGTCGTGGGTTCTAATCCCGGCTGCGGCGGCTGCATTTCCGATGGAGGCGGAAATGTTGTAGGCCCGTGTGCTCAGATTTGGGTGCACGTTAAAGAACCCCAGGTGGTCGAAATTTCCGGAGCCCTCCACTACGGCGTCTCTCATAATCAAATGGTGGTTTTGGGACGTTAAACCCCACATATCAATCAATCAAGCGAATGTGCGAGAGGCATTTCAGGAAAAAAAAAAAGGGGGTAGCTCACGATTCTCTTTAGTTTTTCTCTATTTCGTTCTCATCTACTGAAGCCCTTTCAATGAGCGTGGGCACGTATTCATGGACGATGAAAAGACTAAGAGGACACAGCACCACTTTCATCCACCGCCACAATGGAAGCAAGAATCTTATTACGTTGTCTTGTGAACATGGGGGATGTTGAGAGCTACGTGAGATGTGAGATACATACATATAGCTTGCCTTTTCGCCAAAATAAAGAAAGCATCTAGCCTGCCTTTGCCCCCAAAATAAAGAATTCCACTCACATCTTTTGTGTGGCTCTCTCGAAAAAGGTTTTACCTCCGTCATAGGAAATTAGCGTTTTGAATCCGTTCCCTTAAGTCCGCTCACAATTGAAGAACAAAAAGTAAACATCCGTATATATATTTTTTACTAAGAATATGCATCCGTATTCGTTTTATTCTTTTTTTTTTAGATGTAGTCTGAACAAAAGAGTCGCAAGCCCTAAAGCGAGTGACAGGACTGCATAACTTCATTATCCATCTCCTTTCTGAGAAAATTTAATCAGGAGAAATGAATAAGCTCAGCGCTGTTTCTATTCGCGAGGCTCAATTCTTGAACGTGCACGGTGCTACCACTCGGTAATGTCTTTTGTTATCGCAACTTACAAGCCATTTACTCCATCCAATCTGTCCGCGCATGCAAGTTCAATATTATCAATGAGGAGGACGAGATCGTAATCTTGAAAGAGCTAGCTTCGTACGATAACTATTACTGATGCTAGTTTAGGAACGTTTATATACATGCTAATTACCGATCTCTTCGTGCTACTTTAATTAGCACAAGCTTGAGAGGTAACGGGAGCAAGTGTAATGCAATAGCAGCCGGGTTATTGGCAAGAGTGTGGACGATTATAGACGTTGATATACTTTTCGCACTAGTATAGCGCACGACTAGTATAGCGCACAAATACCAGCAACCTGTCATGCCATTATTTTGGAATTTTCATCGTTACAAAAGTATTTTATAAGGCAGTGAACCTGATGCGTTTCATTCCTTGCGTGTTTCCTTTTTTCTTTCCTCTGTTCTTTTTTATTTCCTTTCTTATTTCTTTCTTTCTTCCTTCTTTCTTTCTTTCTTCCTTTCTTTCTTTCTTCATTTTGTTATTTCCTTATTTCCTTCTTTCTTTCCTGCTCCTTCTTCGTTTCTTTGTTTCTTTGTTATATGGAGCCAATCCCATTTTTCAGCGTTCTGTAGAAGTATGCTAAACAATAATGATGACTAAACATTTTTGCAGGAACAGACCTATATCTGTCACGTTAACGCTTGCAAATTCTCTTTTCTCATTTTCAAAGTGAAGTTTTGAAAGTGTTGCCATGTAACTTACGTTTGATTGTACTGGATTGTTTCACAGATAACTTCGGTAACTTGCACGTAAAAAAAAAAAAACCGAGGTGGTCGAAACTTCCGGAACCCTCCCCTACGGCGTCTCTCATAATCGTATGGTGGTTTTAGGACATTATGCCCCCCATAGAAATCACCAATAACTTCAGTAACTATTAATAGCTACACATTCACGAGGCATTCGCACGGGCTGGATCCTTCGACCAAAACGGCAAAATCAAACCTGCGCGCAGATTGATCTAGATCAGCAGTTCATGCAGACATGCATGCTTCTTTCAATACTCGGTAGCGTGGGTTTAGCACAGGACTGAGAATGACGTGTGGACGTGGGACATTGTCAAGCTGTTTCGTGCATCTTTTCACCCTGTCCTAGCCACTCACGTGGAAACTTCGTGTCGTAAAACCTAACCTGAAACTCAAACAGAACACTGATCCAAAGGACCAGCTATTGTCCTGAGATTCCGTGTCCTTTTTTCTATTGTCCTGTGTCGAATCAGCACTGTCCAGTATTTCAAATTTTGAAGTGACTAGCCCAGCAATGCCAGCAACGGATTATGTTATGCCTGCATCCCCATCCTTGTGAGTTGCAAAGACACCCCTGTAAAGTTGGTACAGGGGTGTTTGGCAACCTCCTCTCTCTACAGTCACTCTCTAATGAAAGGAAGACTTAAAGCGCTGACTAAGACATATTCCCCCACACTAATAACAATCGTTAGGGCTTTACGTCCAAGAATCGTGATACGGTTATGACAGGCGCCTTATTGGAGGGCTCCGGAGTTAATTACCGGGGAGTTCTTCAAAGGGACACTAAAGGCAAATATTAGGTCGACGTTAATTGCTGAAATAGCAGTCCAGAAAACCTCGTAGTGCGACTTTTGTGCTAATTAAGGGCTCATTTTTGAAGTAAAATTCGTGTTTCACTGGTCGGCATCGCGTTAGCGCACTTCAAATCTCCCGCCTAAAAGTTGTACGCCTCACTCCACTGTTGACGAACCCAACGTTGCCCGCCTTTACTATGCGGCCACCCACACCCGTAGCAGCAGAAACACTAGCAAAAATCATAGCAGCCACCGGCCATTGAACAATTTTCTGCCATGGCCCCCGAAATTGTGGGTGTGTGGCGTGTTTCGCTTGGATCAAATGAGTCCTGCTAGATGACACCGCCTTTACAGCCTAATCAGGAGGAAACGCAATTTTAGACGCCTCGCGCACTTGCCCACAGTAAAACCGGGTGATTTTTTTTTCATAAGTCAAATAGAAACGGACAAGCAGCATTCCTTTCCGACTCTTGATGCACGCAAGGTTCTTTTTTTATTGCAGCTAGTTTGATTACTCGTGAATAATTGTAGTCGAATCGGACACTCTCCCATTCTCGGGATCATTTTGCAAATGTCCCACTGGTGGCGCTGATCGTGTGCTACATTTAGCTTAATTTATCCGTAAGTAGGGCAGTGCTGTTGATAATATTGGCGTTTCAGACGTTGCCATACATTAAGGTCTCACACTGACATGAATTGTTATTTGCTTTTAGTGGTCCTTTGAGATGCACCAACACCTACACGGCGAGCATTCTCTGCGTTTCGCCCCCATCTAAATGTGCCCACCATGGCCGGGAATCAAGCCCATGCTCTTGAGCTTAGCAGTGTGATACCCTACGTTTTAAGCTTACATGACGGGTTAGTTATCGGCACTATGGGTGAGCAATGAAAGGTCATGTTGTTAAGCTTGAAACCCCAGGGCAAATAACAAATGCTTTAAAAGTGCAAGCGAGGCCAAACAGCTTGCATTTTTTATCATTTCGAAAAGAAACACATAACTTATTTTATCTTTTCTTCAAAACTCCACACTACTTACGTTGATTAAACTGTTAGCGTCGTTTCATACAAGTGAGAGTATAAATTGTTGTGTATACGTGATACACGTGAAAGAGGATTTCGGGCTCCTCACCTCTATGGTAGTCACTCGAAGCGTGATGTTGGAGGTTCCGAAGTCGTGGAAGGCATTGTGGTTTGTGATGTTGAGGCCATCGCTAGTGGACCACTCACCTACCTGAAATTCACAGGTGCAAACTTTGAAAGGCATTTACAACTTGTCATTTCGGTCAGGAATGAGTTAGGCGCACCAAATATGCCATCTAACGCTGATGGACCTTTTTCTGTTGTGATAAAAGTAAGTCGACTTCAGAAACCGTGATCCTGACAAAAAGGATCAACTTGCCATACCATTCTCTTGAAGTTTCACGACTGCCAAGAAAGCAATATGGGTTGACACTACGAGTTAAGACACGTCTTTACTAGCATTTTGTCTGCTACTCCACTGTGAGAGATTGACTGATTATGCCCATACGGATAAAGATTATAAATTTATGAGGCATCGTATAGGCGTGTAAGTGCAATCAGATAGTATCACACAGGGCCTGGATCTAGTTTTCTTAGTAGCTCTAAGAAAACAATGCATAATCTTGAAATGCGATACTGGTTGATATAAAGTTCCCTTCACTCTACGGTGAAGTGATGAGACTTGGTTAAGATTAGTGGGCGCCTTCACCAAGTGCAATCAAGACTTTTGTTTAATGAAGGAAGTTTTGAAGCATGGTTAGCTACTCAACTTTAAAGTATTCAGTACAAAAAAGAAGTCAAACATACTTGGCAGCAGTGAAAGGCACCCTCATGAACGTCAGTGGTAAACCACAACGTTGGTCAGAATTGGCCCTGCCGGGCACACGTTTCAAGTACACAAACTTGCTGTAGTGACCTGTCACTGGATCTTTCATTCTTTTCCATTCGATTAGCTTCTGAAGCCATGCGAACACGCAGTGCCTCGGGTGACCAAATTGCTGGCGTCAGAGTTGCTGCGTCATATACAGCTGTATAGGTGCGGATCACTTAGTGGGTCCACGTTGTCGCATGCTGTCGTATGCTGCCATGATCGCAGGCTGTCGTTGTTCGTCGTAACGCAAGCAAAGTCGCATATACCATAGCTATTTCAGCGCGCGCTCACGCCCAGGAGTTCTTCCTCCTTACGTTCTTAGAGTGTTGATGATTATAAAAACAAAGAAAAATAAATAGTAAAAGACCGAAAAGAACTAGAAGAAAGAAAGAAAGAAAGAAAGAAAGAAAGAAAGAAAGAAAGAAAGAAAGAAAGAAAGAAGAAAGAAAGAAAGAAAGAAAGAAAGAAAGAAAGAAAGAAAGAAAGAAAGAAAGAAAGCTGCTGAGCTCTGCACTTACTTCAGTCTTGAAAGCACTACAGCAAGTGCGAGTGACCTATAAGTAATCTATACTAATCAGGGATGCAAGAGTTAAGTGAATGCTTCGGTTAGAATTATGAAGTTTGCGTGAGCTTCTTAAAATACTATAAAGCTTTTGCCAGTAATGTCGTAGACACATATTTGTTTAACTCAACGATAGTACACTACATATAAGAAAACAACATTCTTCGCAGAACACTTCCAGGCATTACGCAATGTTCTCACTTCACAAGACGACAACGTGGTGAGCTAAATGTACGTAAATAACATTTTTTTTTCGCTGATCTTTTTCGGGCCTAACGCAATGTTCCCGCTTCGCATGACTTACTTTTTCTAAGAAGTTCTGGCGAAGCTTGAGCAAATCTAGTTTCAGGCTCGTCCGGTTTCCTTCGTTGAACCGGATATTTCCTGTCAGGCCGTAAAAATCTACCTGCGGGGTAAAAGAACATTGTACATTAGGAACAGACTTCCAGCTACAATAAAAATGCGTGTCGTACCATTATAAAAAGAGGTTTAGAGTCACGCAAGTTGGTATGGTGTGGTATAAAAAAACTTTATTGAGGTCCTCCACAACGTGTCTCAACACACAGCGGGCCACTTCCACGTATAGGGACATGGAAGCCAAGCCTCTCGGCAGTACTGAAGCACTGCTGGCGGGGCCGGTTGGCCGGCAAGGAGGGGGCTACGGAGAGCTACATTACAATCGGCCAGGTTGTTATCGACTGCAGAATGTGACCGGGCACATCAGTAGCACGCATGTTCTAACGTGAACATTTCTCCGCATGAGGGACAGCAATTGTCGGTATAATTAGATGGATTCATTACAATGGAGGGTTACAAAGGAGGGCGTCGGATACGTAATTTGGTGCTCTGTAATTGAAAAAAACATAATTTAAATAAAGAAGAAGAAGAAGATGACATGGGCAGGGTGCGTGCTACGCTATCAGGATATAACCACTGGTCATTAAGGGCAGTTGAGTGAATTCCAAGAGATGTCAAACGTGCGAGAGGGAGACATTAAGTTGCGAGGACAGATGAGATCGAGAGGTTTGCGCTTACAATCTAGCAGCAGCAAGCACTGCACCGGGAACATGGCAGAGGCCTTCGCCCTGCAGTGGGCGTGGTCAAGATGATGATGACGATGATGAAGTGTTGTGAACACCCACCACAATGGTCTATTTTATGGTGCTTGACAGCCGACCGAAAGTCACGGGATCGAATGCCGGCCGGAAAGACCGCAATCCTGCCCAGTCGAAAGGCAGAGAAGCCCATGCGCTAAAATTTTGGTGCACGCTAAAGAACCCAGGATGATAGAAATTTCCGGGGCCCTCCACTACGGTGAATATCAATTATTTCGTGGTTTCTGGGCGTTAAACAACAACAATTCTCATTAAATCTTATGAAAAAAAAAGAACAAGCCACCAATTTCACGTGCATGCTTCATGTCATATATTACTTTTTATTACACTCCTCAGGGACAGAGGCGTTAAGGAGGGGGAGTGATAACAACACTTTGAATAAAAAAAAGAACTAGATAAAGAAAGAACAAAAATAGAATAAAACAAGAAAAGTAAAAAAAATGCACATGAAACAAGGGAGATGCCTCACAGCGGTGGCCTAGTGGCTAAAGTACTCGGCTGCTAACCCGTAGGTCGCGGGATTAAAGGCCGGCTTCGGCGGCTAAGTTTCCAATAGAGGTGGAAATGCTCTAGGCCCGTGTGCTCAGATTTGGGTGCACGTTAAAGAACCCCAGGTAGTATAAATTTCCGGACCCCTCCACTACGGCGCCTCTTATAATCATACGGTAGTTGTGGGACGTTAAAATCTCTCGTAGTATATCTAGAAACAAGGAAGCAAAATGTGAAATTAAAGTGAATTTAGAAATAACCTGTGTATACAATGCTATCTACAGAATTACGGAACTGTTCATGATGAATAATGTTCACAGCATCCGTGGGAAGGCCATTCCAATCGAGGGAGGTTCGTAGTAGAAATGAATTATAAAAGTGCGCAGCAGTATATTACGTGAAACGATTCCGACTTTATGACGACGGTCTGCGCCATGGGATACACAAGATAGCTTCGGGATGAGGTGATCGCGTAGTGGAAGATGACGATACGTTTTATGAAAGAAGGCTTTGCATGACACTTTACTGCGCGACGATAATGACGATGTAAGGTCCTTAAGGCTATAGTTGCAGCTTTTAGCTCGGAAGATAAATGAAATGAGCAGGACGGTAGTACGCAAAGAGTCGACGTTATTGCAGTGTTATCAAGCATGCGTACCCATGTTTAACGATAACAGTACTCTTTACACGTGTCGTGCTCTTGCTTATCATGACGAGTCATGTGACCTTTTCTGTATAGTTATAAAGCCAGTCGCACCGAGCAATAAACATTCTTTTCGTTCTGCCAGCTACGTTCCGTTACTTCGGTGGCGACGAGGGTGAGACTCGAACCCACGCAGGCAAAGCCCAATGGATTGGCAGACATGAGCCGCACGAACAATACGCTTCATCAAATCAGTGTATGGATGACGCGCGGCTGGCCACGGCGCTCCTCTGCAGCACAGCAACACCTTAGTGCGTACTTTTTTCGCCGTGACGAGCTCGCGGCTAGTGGTGATCGAATTTATCGGGGCCATAGAGTAGTGTTGCCAGATGCGGCGCGACGGGGCATGCTAACCCCTGTATTCACAAACGCTCCTTCACTCATGGGCTCTCCTCGACTTGATGGATGGATGGATGGATGCTATAAGCGTCCCCTTTATAACGGGGTGGTGACAAGTATGCCACCAGGCTCGACAAAAAAAAAAAAACCTTTTTTCTTTTTTTATGTTGGCCTAATGCCTCTACTTCGATAAATTCTATCTTAATGGAAAAAAAGGTAAATTTTCAGCTTAGGTTCTCTGCCATTTACGGCACACTGTCCATATTTTATTTTTCCAATATTTATTTTCGTCCTTTCTCTCTAATTTTCTGCCACCAATACTCTAACCGTCTCTTACTTATTTCAATCGCGGGTGTGTTCAGCTTTCCATTGTTGTCCCTAAAACCCAAGGCTTGAAAAAGTTTATGGAAGCGCCATTTCTTGGCAGACCAAGTCACTGTGTATTGGCAATATTCTGCAGCGATTTTTGAGAAGCACAGCGTCAACTTCAGTCGAGCAGTGGCGCAGTGCTCAACTCAGTCAACTGAAGGACGGAATTCGAGTCAAGGAGCGTTTCTAATTACGGGGGTAAGAGAACTGCACGACAGTCACCCCGGTATGATCACAATAAAGCACACAGCGCGTGCACTTTTTTGGTATCCCGGCTGAGACAGGGACATTGAACGGTTGGTTCAATGTTGCCTTCAGTGCATACAATGCTGGCCCATGCCTGCTGAAGATGGTGGATGGATGGAAAAACTTTATTTCGTCAGAAAGCAACTGAGGATGATTCCGTGTTAGATGGCCATCAACCCAAGGTTGGCGGCGACCTGTGTGAAGAAGTTCTGTCTCCTTGGCCGGTGAGCAACAAATTATGATACAGGTTACACATGGATTTCGCGGGCCCCATCAATGGCTTCCAAGTTTTTGTGTTGGTGGGCGCCGAGACTAAATGGATCGAGGCCATAACATTGAAGACCACCATGGTGGACGCCACCATTTACGTACTTCAAGGTATTTTCACCCGTTTTGACTTCCCGTACTGCTTTTATCAGATGCCCCGCCGCGGTGGTCTAGTGGCTAAGGTACTCGGCTGCTGACCCGCAGGTCGCGGGTTCATATCCCGGCTGCGGCGGCTGCATTTCCGATGGAGGCGGAAATGTCGAGGCCCGTGTGCTCAGATTTGGGTGCACGTTAAGAACCCCAGGTGGTCAAAATTTCCGGAGCCCTCCACTACGGCGTCTCTCATAATCAAATGGTGCTTTTGGGACGTTAAACCCCACAAATCAATCAATCAATCAATCAATGCTTTTATCAGATAACCGGCCACAGTTTTCAAGTGCCACCGTGTTAAGTTTCTTGTAGGAAAGCCACGTGAAACACGTGAGAACAGCTGAGTACTATCCGCAGTCAAATGGTTTGGCGGAATGGGTCGTGCGGACCATAAAGGAAAGGCTTTGAAAGCATCCGGCAAGTACGTTACAAGAACGATTGATCAAGTTCTTATCACGTTACAGATCAACGACCCTTTTGGAAAGTGGAAAATCACCAGCAGAACTACTGTTGGGCTTTTGTCTCCGAACCAGGTTGACTACCACAATAAACAATTGTATCGGGCCAGTTGGTATGAATCCGCCTTGGTAGGAAGCGCAGCCATTATTACTGTGTTGTGTGTTCTGTGTAATAGTGGCTGCGCTTTCTACCAAGATGACTGCCTCACTCGCAGACAAAGAGGTGGCCCGAAAATGATGGTGCCGGCGAACCTGTGCAAGCACAAGCAAAAGCCCAATCGCGGCTCCAACCCAGAAGACATGTATGGTCGCGCCAGTACCAGCCTGTTCTGATACGGATGCCGGATACAGTAGTGTCCACGACGGGAACACGCATGGTTACACTTGAAACACCGGAGGGACCAACAGCGGCGCCACGTAGACCAACTATGACCACGGCAGGACTTGGGATCATCACCTAGCAAACAGAGCCAAGTTCACGACGAAGCTCAGGGTACACCCAAACAGGCAGACGCACCTCAAGATACGGCCGTGCGAGACGTGAACTCTCAAGCTGACGACCAACAACCACTATGACGTTCAACTTGCCAGCAGAAACCGCCAGCTCGTCTCGCTTACTCAAACTTAGGGGGGAGGGATGCAGTGTTATTAAGCACGCGTACAAATGTGTAACGGGAACAGTACTGTTTACACGAGTCGTGATCTTGCCTATCATGACGAGTTATGCGACCTTTTCTGTATAGTTGTAAAGCCAGTCACACCGAGCAATAAACGTTATTTTCTTTCTGTCCGTTCTACCAGCTACGTTCCGTTACTTCAGTTATCCTATGACGTATTGTTGATACAGGTTTAATATGAATGAAGCGTATTCTAATGTAGAACGAATGAAGATAATGTTAGTAAAATTAGAAAGTTATACTGAATCTTGTTGTTTAAGAAGTTAAATGAAAACCCATTTATCATGAGAAAAATGTGATGGTGACTTAATAGGATGGATTCCTAAATACTCGCAATGTGTGGCTGACGACGGTTATGTCGTTGAAGCTATTTATAGTTACTAGACGGAAGGAAATTCTAGTGAAGGATCCGCATATATATATATATATATATATATATATATATATATATATATATATATATATATATATATATATATATATAATAAATGAAGACTGGAAAGAGCTTTTCCCCAAGCACGCCCCGTCTGATGTGAGACGAACGACTTGAGCCATTGAAGAGTTAGAACCGTTAACATACATGACACATTCCTTATACACACATGATATACGTACGCACACCGAGGATTGACCCTCAAAAGGAAGTCTTCATCAAATAAAAAAATAACCTTTCTGACATTCTTATAGTGAATTTTAATACTAACTACATTTTTTGTTCTCAGCACGGAGGTCCTGCTATCATGTAACTGCAGGAAATGTAAAGTAAGAGAAATGACTCCTGTTAAACAAGTAAAGCTTGTTTTCATTGTTTTTACTACAGTCACCATTGTAAGCCACAAATCTTAGCACGGTATCAATGCGAGCACCATGAACTATCGTGAGTGGTACGAGCTGGTAAATATGCGCGTATACGTTCGTACGTACGTACACACGTGCGAACTCACCATGCTGATGAGGTTGAAGAGGCTGGTGCCTTCGGTCCACGAGACCTCGTCCTCGCATGAGACGTTGGCCGGGCGCAGCGTGGCGCTTCGTTGCAGGTCGTTGAGCCCGTGGGCGAAGGCGTACACAGCGTCGAACATGAGGGCGGGTTCCGTCTGCACATCGTACACTGCAGCTATTACATAGAACATTGATATTGCCGCGCGCGTTGCTTATTTTCAATCTTGTTTCATTTGGTTTTCACCAACAAAGAGTGTGCTGAATGCCGCTCGCAAACTGCGCCTCATTGTTCGAGAAGGTTCACGATTATTGTAGATCATTCTGCTAAGATTGCGCACAAATAGAGAACACTCGAAATTATTCCAGAGCTTACGCGATGACCAGTAATAAGGCTGCAGATTATTGGACGTCACATGTATAAATGCCGACGCGTTTCGCCGCTTGCGAGTTGATTTACGGCCGACGCTCTGTTCACAGCTATTAGTGTCAGTGTGCATCGCTGTAATATGACCATTTGATTATCGGCCACGAGTTCGGACAAATAAACAGTTTCTTTTTAATTGATTTGATCGATACGCGGCGTTTAGCGTCCCAAAGCCCCCATAAGATTATGAGAGACGCCGTACTGGAGGGCTCCGGTAATTTCGACCACCTGGGGTTCTTTAACGTGCATCCAAATCTGAGCACAGGGGCCTACGACATTTCCGCCTCCATCGGAAATGCAGCCGCCGCAGCCGGGACTCGAACACGCGACCTGCGGGCCAGCAGCCGAGTACCTTATAGTCACTAGACCACCGCGGCGGGGCCAGCTTCATTTTAGACGAACGGTCTCTTCCTTCGTCATAGTCACAACCCTGTGACCATATCAAGCACTACAATGAAAGGCGCTCAGAGACTTTGGAGACTTTTTTCAATAAGCACCGATTCGCGGCTCTTTAAAACGACAGACAGACGCGTACTAAAAGGAACAGAGCTCCACTTCACGGAAACGACGGTGTGGCCTTCCACTACGGGCATTCACTGAGACTACAGCCTTGAAATATTGCGTCACTTTAATAGAATTTGTTACGTGCATTCACTTAGAAGATAAAATCTTGTTCCGTATACCTAGCTAAATTGAAACAAGCAATTGAAAAGCAAACAGTACCGATGTTTCCTGAAATCAACCTTGAAGTGTGTTAGTAAAATAAATTATTGTGGCAGTAAACGTCTATTCAAGTCATATCTCGCACGAAGGCGTGGGGTCAAATAGGGAATTTAATGGCCGAAAGAGAGAGAGAAACAGAGAGAGAAAAATACAAGAGAAAAAAAATGAGAGATTAACCGGAATAACATCTGGTTTTCTACTCTACACTCAGGGGAAGGCAAAAGATAAACAGAAAAGTGTGAGAAGAATCAGGCGTGTACACACAAATGCATTTGTAATAATAATAATAATAATAATAATAATAATAATAATAATAATAATAATAATAATAATAATAATAATAATAATAATAATAATGGCCGAGATCTTTTCAAGCAATGCGTCATCTACCCAGCATACTGTATTGCTGAGTTATGCGCCCACTTCCAGGGCCACGGACTACATAAAAAATTTTCAATCATATATTAATACGTTTTGCATCAGTAAATGCTTAAAGGAAAGCTACGAGAAAGAATCAATAATTATCTTAAATATGTTTGTGAACATAAGCTTCTTATTCGCATTGTGCGAATGGAATCAGCATAGGCTTGCAAGCTAGAGAGAATTAAAACGCGGGAAATTTAGGGTAGGTGTTTTCTTGCATGGTGTCCTACGGCGTACTTAATAAATTTCAGATGCTTCGCCCACTCGGTTGAAGCGTGCAATTTTTGGTGAAAGCCTGCCGCTGAAGCTCTATTAGGCCTCCAGCCAGAGCTTCATGTGACCCCCCCCCCATCTCACTTTTATTCATTATGTTTAATCACATGGTAATTTTTCAAGAAGCCCTCGTGAATGAAAGTGGCCGACAGCCTAATAAGCTGGGCGAATAGCATGCCCAAAGCTTTGACAAGCAAAGGCAAGCGGAATTTTATCACGAGATGAAAATCGTGGCCTTTCGGGCTCTATTCACTTGTTCGCAATCGACATTCACGAGAACGAAGCACGTTTGATGAGCCGGTGGGGCTCTGAATAACCAATGAGTAGCCTGCGATAGCGACTGGAAGCTTTGCATGCAAACTCACGGAATAAATCATTTGAAAAGAGAGCGCTGTATATGGGTTATGTGAATGCTTTTCTTATTTGGATCTCCTTTTAAACCTGTTTATCGACGACCAGTAAAAACGAGTCCATCGATGGCTCTGCTCACGTCATTTTTGTACAGTGAGTGTTCCGTTTATATATATATATATATATATATATATATATATATATATATATATATATAAGCAGGTCTGATCACAGTCGTACTAATAACAATGTGATAACGAATGAAGCATTATACTTTCGAAGTCGGCGTTGTGGAGGAAAAGCAATAATTTTCAGTTGTCAGGTCACGTGGTTAAGGTTTGTCTTTGTTATATGTTTTCAGCCTGAAGCACTATGAAAATGCAAAGGAATGTGCGTTCTTTGACTCATGGCTTGTTCATTTACCTTTTAGCCTCCTTCCATTGATTGGAGACAGCAGGTTCGGGGAAAAAAGTTTTTCCTTCCTTTCTCGTTATAGCCTTGTCCCTCTCTTTGTTTTTTTATATCGCCTGTCCCTTCAGCATCTTTTTCTTCCCTCTATTTTTCCCTCCTTTCACACAAAAAGAACGTACATGGACAAGCCAATATCTATTCAAACAAAAAAAGTAGCTTTTTTTTTTTTTCAGGTGCAGTCGTCCGACTCCATGCCTCCTTTTTTTGTGTGTGTGTACGTGCGGGAGTTTTGACCCCGCACATAAACCTTTAATTTTGTTGACCATGTGGGGGAGTTATGACCACTCTCACGACGTCAAGAAAACATTGTCTTCAAGTGTGCTGGTTCGTCTTCGTTATGGCTCGCCAACTAACCCACAAGTTTGCATTAATTGATTGATTGATATGTGGGGTTTAACGTCCCAAAACCACTATATGATTATGAGAGACGCCGTAGTGGAGGGCTCCGGAAATTTAGACCACCTGGGGCTCTTTAACGTGCACCCAAATCTGAGCACACGGGCCTACAACATTTCGGCCTTCATCGGAAATGCAGCCGCCGCAGCCGGGATATGAACCCGCGACCTGCGAGTCATCATCTGAGTACCTTAGCCACTAGACCACCGCGGCGGGGCACAAGTTTGCATTAAAGGGTCCCTAAAAACCTAATAAAATACGAGGAAAAAGCGCATGGTCCTCTCCGGGCATGTGCTCTTTTTTTTTTCGGAAATGTTTGTGGCACCCGCAGTCCGTTCACTTCACCTCATGAATAAATAAGGACTCCATTTGTACGTACACGATAGATATCTGCTTTGAATTGCGTCCTAGCCTGCTTGGACATGCAGTCGCCAGCCTGTTCTGCTTTGTCTCGTATGACTATAGCGCCAAATCAAGTTATCTCACTTTATCTTGCTCGTTTTCGACAGCACAAACGAAGACAATCAGCGCGCAACTGAACAGCGCGAAATCCTGGTATTCTCACCACTCGGTGCCGACATCGCCCACATATTTAATGGTTTAATGAAGAAATGAGTGGGGAGGAGGAGATAATGCTTCTGCACGAAGGGTAGTCAAGGCGAGAAAGAAGCCATGCTCTCTTGTCTCGGAGTGGTTCAAGGGCATTTAAGGAAATTAAAGCTTAACCGCTCCGGCTTCGCAGACGAGAGATTGATTTCTTCCTCGTTTTACGAACATTCCTACAGAGACGCTATCATCTGCTCACCGCTTATTTCTTCATAAAACACGTGGGATGTACTGTACAAACGTGAATCCACGCGGAACTTCACACTTTTCGGCTACACGCTGTCACCCCCACTTGCGCCGTCGAAAGCGCACAAGCCGAAATTGAAATCAGTTGACTGCGCACAATAGTGAAGCGAGGCAAGCCAGAACGAGTGGCGACTGCATGGCAAAGCAGGGCAGGAGATAATTCGCAACTGATATCTCTCATATGTGGACTAAGTGAGAGCACTTTTTTTTTCGTTTCGTCATGTGAACAAACAGCTGCATGGTATAACGAATAGCGCCTGAAAGACGCAAAACGCCAGGATGTACTAGGGAGTTTTCGAACAGCACCGCGAGCCCTTGCGGTGCGGTCGCTGCCACTGTGCATGCGTCGTAATGCGAGCCGCCGTTCGCATTTGCGGCCCGCCCGCAGAAAATCCGAAAGAGCGGGCGGTGTGAGCGGCCCGCATGCGGCCTGAAAACGCTGGTGTCGATGTGTAGTTTCCGTGCATTTGAGTTTGCGGGGCAGCAAAAGTACCTAGGTTGTTCCCCATAGGAACGGTAAACGTTATTCTAAAACTCATATGGTGCCCGCTATGCCCGCAACGCTCGCAGCGCGTGCAAACGTTATTCTAAAATTTCCAAGTAATGCGTTTGTTTCTTGACAAGTTTATTAGCGACCCTTTGAGATTTACTTGAAGCATTGCCATTGTTTAAAACAATATTGATACCTACAGTCAGCATCTGAAGACAAAAAATACCAAGCGCGAAAGCAGGGTGCAAAAAAAAAAACAATGTGACTAGATGAGCACACAGATAGTGCTGCGTCTAGGCGCCCTCATTGTGACGTCCCGTTTTTTGCGCGCTAGTTTATGTTCCTTCATGTACCTACTGACCCTTCTACAGCCCCGTCACGGTGTTTTAGTGGCTAAGGTACTCGGCGGCTCACCAGCAAATCGCGGGATAGAATCCCGGCTGCGGCAGCTGCATTTTCGATGGAGAGGAAAATGCTGTAGGCCCGTGTGCTCAGATTTGGGTGCACGTTAAAGAACCCCAGATGATCTAAATTTCCAGAGCCCTTCACGACGGCTTCTTTCATAATCATATGGAGATTTTGGGACGTTAGACGTATATGTATCAAACAATGGCCCTCCTACAAAGAGGCCTAAAAAGGCTGTTTACTACATGAAAAGCGTGTGTGAAAGAGCGACTTCTTCACTTCAACAAATGGTAAGCATTGCAATAATATCGTCCATGCATTCAAGGTTATTTTTTGCTTCATAACCAATCGCCGAAGTTAATCACCATGTTGAATTCATGTTAGTATAATGAACATTCATTTCTAATTTGCAAACTTCCATTCGCCGAATACAAACAGAGCTACGTGTACTTACGATAATCACGTTGGTGCGGTTCAGGATGTTCTGGCCGAACGGTTGAAATTTCTCCATGTCTCGGAGTATGTTCCGAACTGTCTGGTTTTCCGAGTCAACCATTCGGTACGCGGTGATGTTTACGAAGTTGTATTGGAAATCTTCTAAGTTGTAGGCTTCGATGTCCTGCGAACATCGCGACAAAAGAAAAAAAAAAGCAAATCATCAAAATTCGAATTGACGAATCACCTAGGTGACGCGAATGACAAACGTAAAGTTTCCAGCGAATGTATTTTTAGACAAGTAAATACCTTCAGAAAACTCATATAAATTTTGCTTTTTATAATTGAAACCTCTGTTGATACGGCTACAATCTTTTCATCGCAATATTTTTTAAGGCCAATAAGCCCCTTCCTCTAAAAATTACAAAGGCAGGTTTTCAACAGTTACCTTTAGGCATACCATAACACCTCCCCCCTCCCCCCATAGAGATATACATTGTGTCTTCTGAGTTGACAGGCGTTAGTCTTTCCTTGGCAAAAAACGAAAAAGTTTTTATTGTCGAAGTGTTTCTACAGCACATTACATCCGCCCACAACGAGCCTAGCTGCTGATCTTAATAAAGAAGGGTGAGGACGTTATAAATTATATAGCCGCACAGCTAGCCTTGCTAAATTTTCCGGCAAGTTCATCGCTCGGCATCTCATGCAATATTGTTCCACTTTTCTCCCCTTTTTGAAAGCGAAAGTGTTAAAGCTCAAAGTAAAACATCCACCCTTCCACCGAAAAAAAAGAAAAAAAACTCCATATCATTGCGTAGCAACAAATTCACAGCTGTGCACTCCCCAAGTTTAACCTCGTCAGGCCGCACATGCACCGAGGAGCAGCCGTCAGGAAGCCACGCCCACCGACGGAGAGTCCGTGCAGCCACCGCGCCGAATTCGCACGGTGGGGTGCGAGCCGAGTACGAGGGACGACAGACCGGCGCTTCTACGGAGGCTGTCCAAGCCAGGTTTGTACATGAGTTTCTGGCACTGGAATTTGGGCTTTCCATGGTCTGTGACCTGCAATGGTTTAACTCTACTCTGTCCACTCCAAAGAAAAGCATAGCATCAGCCAAGAAGGTATCGTTAAGCCCCTAAGGTCATTTAGCTTCATTGTTTCTTAAGCCTGACACGACTAGTGCAAACTTCTCTCTCTCTCTCTTTCTTTTATTTGCACTGAGCGATGCACAGATGCTTTCGTGTGAAGAAAAGTATCCCATGTCATCACCTAGCTCCTAGGCACTTTGGGAAAAGTTCAACACACGCTCATGGTTAGTACATTAAACGGGCTTTCCTTTCGTACTTACGTAAGTAGCGAAGTGGTAGTGGTATTTGTAGTCGTTCATCTGGATTTGCAGAATCTGAAAATGAGTGAGAGGAATATAGCACAAACTTCAATGGTCTGTCGTTAATTTTCACGTTTACAATGCTAAGTAAAACCAGGCTTTTCAACTCCGCTGCCATAATTAAGCGGCAGCGAGGCATTGTTCAAGCGACACCATTCACTCGTTTCCCCGAAAGAATTCGAGTACACACATATATACGGGAAAAGTCAGTTGATGTTGGATTAAAGTTTTCGGGCTACCATGGTTCTCAAAAAACAAAAGTGAAAAGAGGCACTCATGTACAAGCTTTGACGAAACATGAATCAAATCAACAGGAAGCGACACACAACACGAAACGGAAATCGAAAGAGAAACATCAACAACATCACAAGTAAGAATATCGGAAGCTACTAGAGGGATTTCTTAAGGAGTGTGGTTGCCTCAGATGCCCCCGCAAGAGTACACTCATCTTGTGCAGTGCCGAGGCCCGCAAGGCACCGACATTTCAAGGGGCCAGCTTGGTCGTGGGGCGCGGTTGCTTCAAAGAGCCGCACTTCCCACTCGAGCATGCACGACAAGTCAGCGCGCTCAATTGATCCAGTCAATGGCGAAGAACACGAGAAGGGAAGTGGGCATATCGAGACGCAAGCGGCAAATGTGGACGCAGTTGAAAGAAGTCGCCGACGCTATTAGGAAGTTTAGAGCATAAAGAGCATCGCCGTCACTGCGAGTGGGAAAGACGACGTGTAGAGAAAACGGCCCTAATTAACCTAACTACTGCCGTCCTAATTTCCGGTGGTGTGGAGAAAAGGACCGAAGCAATGTGAACTGACTCGATTGTGAAGAAAGGCCAGCATGGCACCGGCTATCGACTCCAATTCTAACGGCGTGGTTCGGTGAGTAGACAGAAACGAAAATCGCGTGAAACGACGAGAATTAGGGAGGAAGCTATATGGAAAGAGGCATAGCAAGAGGGAGAGAAAGTAGGTATAGACATCAATAAGAGTGATAGCTTGAGGGAGAGAAGAGGGTGGCTAGAAGGATGGCCGGATATGGCAAGAAGGATAACTTGTCGTAGAAAAGAGGGATAACTAAAGAGAGGGAAAAAGATGAAACAAGGCAAGGTTGAGCGAGGGAGAAGAAACGAGGGATAGCTATAGAGAAGAGAGAGAGGATGGCTGATGGAAAGAGGGACAGCTTGAGTCAAAACATTGGAGGTGGAAAGCGAGGTGACTTGCTGAGGGCCCCACAGCAACGCGAGCTGACGCTAAGGTATTTTGGCTATCCGCTTTGACGGTGTTTTTTTTTTTTCAAGGAATGAGGAGGAAATGAAGCGCACGCGCACGTTTACGCACGCGGAACTAATGCGAATGGCCTACGCCTACGATTGAAAGAATTAACTGCGTGAAAAAGACCTATAGAAGTGGACGATTCGGGAGCAATTAGCGGATGCCGCACGGTGTTGGGAGGAGCTAATTAGGTTCTCTTTGTATTATTGTCAGGAAGGGGGGAGAGAAAAGTTGGGAGTTGTATACGATTGTATTACGTTAGTTACGCCTACAGCGTCGAGGGAAAGGGCTGTTAGAGGAGGAGGGGAAAGGACAAGCAAGCTCACAGTGTGTATGTGTAAAGTGGATACACGTGTAGGGCGACTTTGGTTTTTGAGTTCGCCGCTTACTTTTAGCGTGAACACGCACTCTGATATTCATCGCGAAGCTTCCCGAAATACATGCCTCGTTAAACTAAGGCTGCGTTGCTGATAATCGTTGAATTGAAGCCAACCGTATGCACTACTAGGGTTTTTAGGGTAGTAGGTTTGGTGTTTATACTATAGACAAACATCATCTCATACTGCACTTAATGTTCATCGTTTATAGCTCAACACAAAAAAGTTCTTAGTTCTTAACCACTAAAATTTCTTTTGCAGGCTGTCCTCTAACGAGCGTTATTTACTAATTGATGCATGATTTACTCAATTCACACACCTTGACAAGCAAAGCAAGACACACAAAAGCAACCGATGTGTATACAATACGGGGGCTCCCACGTTTCCCTTGCTTGTGCGGGCGTCGTTTCACGCTCGTGGTGCATCTAATTTAGCACAGAATAGCCAAAGTTTTGGCGCTGCATGACTTACTGTTGCTTGTTTTCGTGCGCTGCAGTTGTATTCCCAACGCACTCTTTGTGAATAAGGGCATTCGCACGCCTCAAAGCTATGTTTTATTTTATTTTTTCCTCACATGGGGTCGCTGTACTTGCACAAATGTGTGTGCAACTACAGCATGGCTGTGTGGCAGAACACTTGCTTGCCACGCAAATTACTTGGGTTCGATCCTACACTACAGCAAAAATGATTCCTTCTCTCCGACATTTCGCCTCTTTTCACGACCGCGTGTTCTCGCACAACTTTGTATTTTTTTTTACAGTAATGACTGCAGCACTATCACATAGCAACTACTGACCCCACGCAAGAAGTCACGTTGTTGCAGATCCCATCGAGTCATTATTTATTGACGGTTATATCAAGCGAGGCTGGTATACACGATGCAAAATAAGTTGGAATAAATGAAGAAATACATGCACACGGAACCAGTGCTGGTCAAGCTCTGTCCAAGCGCTGGCCTCGCAGCTCTTTATGTCCATCGACAGCACCGGTCCATTCTGGGCGCGGGCTTTCTTATGTCTTCCCTTTTCAAGTTATTAACTTTGCAAGATGTATGTCCAGACCGAAGCACTTGAATACAACGAAGGATGTATGCCCGTACCGCTCTGAGGAAAGCGGTGAGGTTTTCGGGTCGCACGTCAATGATCATGCTGTAGATCCCGCGGCTTTTGATGTCCATCAGGGTCGCCGTGAAGTTCTCCGCCCTTCGGAACAGGTACTGAACGTTCTTGGGAGGGAACGGCCGCACCAGCTCCTGGAGGCTGATGAGGGCTGCGAGTTGAAGCGACAGAGCCAGTTAGCTTATCAGTAGAGACAGATTGGAAGAGGGGTTAGGCGCAGGCGTGCGCACGCCTTTCCCTATGATGGTGGGGGGGGGATATTTATTCGCAGCGACCCCCCCCCTCCCACTTCACGTAATTTGAGTTCAAAGAGAGCATGCTTCACAGTGAATTAATAAATGTACACGAAGCAATGACGTTATTTTCACAGTGGCCTGCCATTGGTCCTTCGTTTTGTGGAAGTAAAAAATGGGAAGTGGACAGTTCTTACAATAGAGCATCAGGTGTTTTAGATCGTCATTGCTGAGAAGAACCAATGTGGCCGTAACAGTGTGAAAGAGTGACGGGAAAGGCCCAACTGAGTAAAAATATGGGGCAGACTCCCCTTTTTTCTTAGGTAGCTGGAAAGGGGGGCAGCATCCCCTCCTGCCTCCTCCCGTGGTTACTTACAAAGGAGGCAGCTTCACTTCCCCCGAGCGAACACCTATGGCTATGGGCACAAGCCTGCAAAATATGTTGTAAGCCATCGCAGACAAAAGCGCACAATGGTGGCCTGAGTGGTAGCCTTCAAAGGCACCCTAACATTGAATACTAATATGGTTAATAATTTGGTTTACGCAATTGCCTCTTTATTTACTCACGCACAAAACATGAACACATGTCAGTATGGAAAAGTATAGGCTCATCTATAAAAATGTCAGCACGTCTGGAGCAGCTTACTACTGTTTATATAGCAGTCGTCCTATTGCGTGCGTCTATCTACTGGCCCTTGTTTATCTTGCGTTGCCAATGGCAACACCGGTACATAACAACGAGGTAGGATATGTGCACTACATCTGATGATCAAACGTAAATATCACGCAACCATTTTTGTTTGCACTTTCTTTCTTTCGTAAAACGTCGAGTTTGTTCATTGTTTGCGTTTTTGTTTTCGCATAGAAAAACTCACAATAGTATTTTTTAAGAAGACAAAGAGCTTGATAATTTCCTCAAAGAAATATACGTGGTCGTCGTTCACGAGATATCAAAGATAAACAGCACGCTAAAGCGTTTCGAAATTATAGAAAAAACATGTAACGAGGAAACCCATCGACGTTAACCAGAATAGAAGTATCAGGTTTTCCGCCCTGCACTGAGTCAGGGGGGGCAAAGAAGTTAAGAAATGCAAACATCAAGCAGATTCCCTTATTATGATTCAATTACCTGCACGAAATGCTTCTTTTTATAGCTTGTCATCTAGTAAGCGAATGTGGAGCAGCAATTTTCTTATAGGGGAACATACATAAACCTATAGAAGGAATTGAAATGACCCTTCAAACACCTGAAGATACCCGCCGCTGTGATCTAGTGGCAGAGGTACTCGGCTGCTGATTCACAGGTCACGGGATCGAATCTTGACTGCGGCGGCTGCATCTCCGATGGAGGCGAAATTGCTTTAGGCTCGGGTGCTCAAATTTGGGTGCACGTTAAAGAACCCCAGGTGGTCAAAATTTCCGGAGCCCTCCACTACGGCGTCTCTCATAATGATATGGTGCTTTTGAGACGTTAAGCCCTACATATCAATCACGCCTAAAGAGACATCATGGTGCAAAAGCCAGTACATAAGGCTCAGCCCTAATTCCAAGCTTGAAGTGTTGGTTCTAGACCGTGTTGGTTTGTCTGATCAAGTTAAACATCGGGTTATCGAGGTCAGTGTTCACCAGCATTTGCTGCCATGTGGACACATCCGCATGGTGAAGACCTAAAGGTTCATTCGGAACACTGGGCCTCATTACACGACCAAATCGTCTCTCGCTATGTTCACAGGTATGATGGAGCTTTGCAGAGGAAGCATTCAGTGCAAGATGCCTACAGTTTTTATTAGCTCACTCTAACGATGTACAAGTTTATTATGATACCTTAAAGAAGACGTGCGCTAAAAACATCATAATCGTGATGAATGAGAGGGAACATTGTGGGCAGCTTAGAGCTAGCATCACACAACACCGACCTAACAGCACACATTTAAAACAAAAATATTATGCCTTAAAGGCAAGTCTTTGTCACAATAAAAAAAAAGAGAGGGGACATTGACATTATTCGGTAATAGACCCTTTTCTAAATTGAGCGTCACCTATCGAACGAAACCGAAAACACATGTTTTCCGCCATGTCTTGTTCACCCAAGGGACGCTCATTGGCGTACCGTCCGAATGCGGTACACGTTTCGCAGGAACGCAAGCGGTGTGCGTGTGCGCTGCAGGAACGCTCATCGGCGTCGCTGGAACACACAGCCCGCAATCTCGCACGAGTGAACAAGATGTGGTGGAAGAGCCATGTTGGCAGACTGAATTTTCTAAAGGGTCTATTGCCAGTGCAACTCGACGCAGTTTACAAAGGGCACGTGTTCATAACACAAATGCTCCAGCGGATAGTTACAGTTCGCAATAATAGGTTCGGTTAGTTGATGTTTGCTCCATAAAGGCGGCAGAGTTGCCTGTACATCCATTTTAACATTTTATAAATTTATACCAGTTATAACAGTTTAAAAATTACGAATGATATGTCATATATTCTTGTCTCGTCGTTTATCGGTTTTTAGGTAATATTATACGTCACATTCGCATCAACCGATTACAAGTATTATTTTGATAAAGCGTGAATTTGGTGTTCCCTTTCATATTGTTCACGACTATGGACGGTTTCAAGATTGCAATAATTTTACCCCAAAAAACTACCGGTCGTCTTATTTACCAGCTCCTAACAGCAAAACTGACAGCCCATTTTCAAGTTTTTTTTTTTTTTAAGATAAGGAAATATTTTCTCTAGTTTTTCAGATATATGTAACGGGCGTGCAATTTAACGAAATATTTTACAACTTTTATGTTGCTGAAAAAAACATTTACTTGAATATATTTTGCCAAATAAAGGAACAAAACTGTAGAAAATCAGCGGGCTATTTTCTAAAGCTCTTCTTGCCCACCATTGCTATGAAGGCACATCGGTAGAGGAAACTCGATGTCATCAAGGGCCTGTGTTTGTAAACAGTGAAAGTGTCTATATGCTAGTAGCTATGCAACGTGATCTTTGACTCACAGATGTCATCCTGATAGAGGACAGCGATGCGCGTCCAGTTTAGGTACTGGACCAGGTCTCGCATCGACTTGCCGGTGATGTGTGGGTCCGGGTGCAGGTTGACGGAGCAGTCCTTGGCGTCGGGCTCGAGGTCCAGCCTGCTCTCAATGTGTGGGATGTCCAGCGAGTCCGAGAGGGACTGGATGTGCGAGCCGATCATCGGATCGTTGGGCCCGAAAATGGCCGCCACGCCCGAGCTGATCAGGCTGCAGGCTGCATCACAAGAACGTGACACAATTGCGCGATTGGTTAGGTGTATTCTTAAAGCAATCGCAAATATGTGGAAACACTCGACTGGCTTTTACCGTTAGCTTCGCCATAGCCATATTTTTTTTTCGTACAGTTCTAAATGAATGAAATCACCTCGCGAATCGCATGTTAGACCCGCGAATAAAAGTTCGTAACTGGCGGTGACAAAAGCGGCTGAAACAGAGATGAAATGAGTCGGCCGTCTACGTAGCACGGAGGGTGCAAGCGATATTTTCCTACGAGCAAGACCATTCGTTCTCAAAAAATAAAATATAAAGGGTACTGTAATTAGTGTGACTGAAGAGAGCTTTCTTGTGACATAATTAGATACATATGTGATGGTACTTTGTTCGTAATTGAAGCCAACTTGTAAGTAATCGTTGAAGCAAAAGTGGGCACTGTAGTGCGTTGGGCGTCTTGTAAACTCTGTGTAGTCAATCATGTCTGCTACTTGTTCTCGAGTTTGGCAGTAAATAAACTCAATGTCACAAATAATCAACCCTTACGTTACGTGGCGACCAACGCGGCTTTCATAATGTGCGAAATTAGAGATAAATCAGTGCACATGGCTGTATACTGAAAAAGAACAGCTTCACAGCTACGCAAGACGAAATAACAGCGCAGAACAAACACTTCCTATCCCTGCAGTCCTATAGCTGAAAGGCCAAGTCACGAAATCTCAAAGAGGTTGAACTAAAGAGAAAGTGGTCGGGTATCACCTATACCAAAAAAAAACGCCGTTTCGTTCATGCTACGACAAACGCCGCTTCACTATTTAACCGCTCAAAAGTATAACCCCTAGAATCTGGCAACAAAACAGCCAGAGGAATCACGCATTAAGAATTTATACGCTTCACCGAATCTCGAAGCCAGGGGCCCTTTTAGTTTCAACAACAAAGACGAATGTAACGTGCTTATTCTGCTGCAATGTCTTCCGGCGCAAATAAAAAAACTAGTTAATAAAAAAATCTTACATGGTTTAACGAAGTGAGCCCACCGATATAACCAAAAAGAAGGCGCAACGGAATACCATCGACAAGCAGACGCCTACACCCGCCACTAAGCCTAGAACAATACCCAGGCTACTTAAAAGCCCCAAGATCTTCAGAAGATAGCTTCGTAATCCTTAAAGCCATCTTGGTACATTGAAGAGTAGACGCTAAGTCTTCACCCATACATATATCACTCAACAAAGCAGAGTTAAGTTTTGAAAAGAGAGCGCGACATCCTACTCCTAGTACACTTATATTTCTGCTGTGAACAATGGCAATGTATTCCAGCGTTTCTGAATTGAACTCGTATGTAAGTGGCCGTCATAGACATTTCTTCACATTAATATGCCGTCAGCTCGTTCGAAAGAAGAAAACTTTCTTTTGTTTCTTGGTGAGTTCCATTTTTCTTTTCCGTTATTATGATGACTGAAACTTGGTACCATAATGAAACAGACGTGTTTTGTATTCACGGATATAATGTTGTGTACCAAAGTAGAAAATTGAGAATTGGTGGTGGTGTATGCTTGTATGTCAAAGCTGAAATAACGTATGAGTATCGTGAAGATCTGTCTCTGTGCACCGATGACCTTGAGGCGTTAACTTTACAGTATGACATCTACACAGGTCACCAAGTGCCAATATCGATTCATTTATTCAATATTTAGAAAACCTATTTTTCGTTGTAAACCAATTTAATTACAAACTAGTGCTGGGAGGTGATCTCTAACATAGATATGTTGAGCGACACACATAAACACATGAGACTTTCGGACCTTCTTGCTTCTTATTTCTTAACAAACATAATTACCATTCCAACACGTATTACTGATACCACTTCTACTCTGTTAGACTTGTTTATCACAAGTAGTACAAACAGTACGTTACAGGCAGGCGTCCTGCGTGCCCCGATAAGTGATCATTTGCCCATATATCTAGTCATAGAAAACATAACCAGTGTAAGGAGTCAAATCCTTCCTGCCATTCACTTTCAACAAATTGATCCGTGAACGCTATCTTCTTTTAGAAAGAAAATTAGAACTCTAAATTGAAACAACGTTCTATCTAGTTCTTCTGCTGATCTTGCTTATGGTTGTTTTATTGATACTCAATGTTCTGTGTATAAAAAACATTTTACTTACAAAGCTTTAAAGAGATCAAAACGGGCGCGCAAACCTTGTATTTCTTCCGCAATACTCAATATGATAAAAAAAATAGGTTGTATCAAGAGTTTCTGATAAAGCGAGACCCGGATAAATTCAAAGCTTTTAAGGTATACAGAAATAAACTCACTAAACAACAAAAACAAGCTAAACGCGATTATCACTTCAAGATGTTTGACGGTGTCACCGATTCTAGGCAATTATTGAACAAACTTAATGCTATTATATCTACCAAACAAGTGTCTAATGATATTAGTGAGCTGGTGAACGAAAATAAAATATAGAAGGGCGCAGTACTAGCAAACAAATCTAACGAGTACATTACCTCACTAGTTGGCAGTAGTCATAATTGTGATTCATCAGGTTATTTGCCTCCTGCTTTAAATAATTCTGTGTTTGCAAATCCTACAGACGAACAAGAGGTTATCAGCATTTTTCAGCATTTCAAATTGAGTAAAAGCGAGGACATAGATGGCTTAAAATTCGAACCTATAATATACATTTTAGATCTCATATGCGCATGCTTAGTACATATTTGTAATCTCGTGTACATCACTGGGCTCTTTCTATGACTGGGCTGTTTCCAATATACATTGTCATGTATATTAGAGCAAATGTCTTCACTGTAACATAGCGATGTTAGTCGGGAAATATAGATGTGCCGAAGTGTATGTGCCCTGTTACTGGAATGGTATGAAGCCTTTGTGTTCTGTACATGCTGTAAATAATTTTTTTCTAAACATATGAAAAACGCTAAAGTAACGGTTATATATAAGGGTGGGGACAAAAGCAATTTAGGAAACTACAGGCTAATTTCGATTTTACCAGTTTTCTCTAAGAGGTGTGAAAAACTTATTTTAATTCGGTTATCTCATTTTTTTAATAAAGACAACATTTATACGCCGTCACAGTTCGGTTTTCAATCAGGCCTCTCAACCGAAAGTGCCTTACTATACCAAAAGTAATTGATTCTAAAAATATAGAAGCAAAAAAACTTACCCTAGGAATATTTCTAGATTTCTCAAAAGCTTTCGATAGAATAAACCATGATATATTGCTAGAAAAACTTGACTGTTATGGAGTTCGCGGTACCGTTTTAGCTTTAATAAGAAGCTACTTATCTAATAAAACACAATGTGTATCAATCAATCGAGAGCTATTATCATCCATGAACGTTAAGAATGGTGTACCTCAAGGTAGCATTTTGGGACCCCTATTATTTAAAATTTTTATCAACAATATTGCACGTATTGACAGCTCTTTAGAATATGTAATTTACGTGGATGATACCAGTATATTTTTTCTGGGGAAACGGCTGATGACCTCATTGTTTCTGTTAATGAAATACTAAATAAAATATATGCCTGGACTATGGCGAATTCTCTACACATTAATTGCTCTAAAAGCAAGGCTGTACTGTTCTATGCGAAACCCAGGTCATTTGAAACGTCTCACAAACTAATACTCAATAACGTTGAAATTAAACTTTGTCAGACAGTTAAAACTCTCCGTGTCCATTTTCACGAACACAAGGCATGGAATTACCATGCCGAACACATTACCTGTGAAACCATGCCAGAACATATTACCTATGAAACAAAAAAAATATTAGTGTACAATGCTCTTTTTTCTTCACATTTACACTATTGTCATCTGGTCTGGTCTACAGGCTCTAAAGCATCTCTAAAGAACCTGGTCGTGTTACAAAAAAAATGCCTTGCGGTGCATCGAAGGTGTATCCTATAACGCACACACTGCTTCAATATTTGCAAAATATAGAATTTTGAGAATTACCTGTTATTACGAATACCAGCTTTTGTCAGCTTTTAAATCATAAATACGCAGAGGAAGTATCCTTTTACGCACCTTGGCCACCTTGCAACCAAATCCTGCCAGTCGCGTTACTCGGTGTACGGAGACTTGGCACGTACCTTGTCCTCGCACAAAATATGGATTTGAAACACTACGTTACCGCCTTCCAAGAGTGATGAACAAATGGAAACTAACAACTGATAATCTGCGTATATTGTCTAAAACTGAAATGTTAAATTGGATATGCTGAATGTGTTGTAAATGAATACTGGGTGATTTCTGTAATGGTTATTCAGTTTTTATTCTTTCATACATTGCTTTGTAATGAATATTTTTGTATGTATTTAAGAGTTGTCATTCTATTATTTCCTGTCATGGGCCACATGCGTCTTTCTTTTGTATTGTCGCTTTCCGCTGCCTGTAATTTTTGTATATTTGTAAATTTGTAGCTTAAATTTTTTTCTGATTGAAGGGGCCAGTCAGGCTGAGAAACGCAGCTTTTTTCCCTTCGCACTAAACTACGTATACAGTGTATTTTCGTGTACTTGTCACGTGGTTAAATAAACTCAAACTCAAACTCAAACTCATGTCACAAATACTCAACCCTTAATTTACGTGGCCTCTGACGCGGCTTTCATAATGGCGAAATTGGAGATAAATCAGTGCACATGGCTATATATACTGAAGTCGTATACTGAAGTATACTGAAGTATACTGAAGTATACTATAGTATACTGAAGAAGAACAGCTTCAGAGCTACACAAGACGAAATAACAGGAAAGAACAAACTTTTCCTATCCCTGCAGTCCTATAGCTGAAAGGCCAAGTCACGAAATCTCAAAGAGGTTGAACTAAAAAAATTTCCCAAGCATTTCCCCGAGGGTGAACATGGTTAGGTGCGAATGCACGGGGTGATGCTATGAGGGGTATTTATTAATTCGCACTATTATATTTATTAATCACACTATGGTGCCTTTATGGTGTATTGGTTCCTGGGAAC